TCAACCTGAACTTGTATACAGGTGATGAACACAACAATTACTTTATTTTTGTTCCAGTGACCAGAAAAGATGGCTTAAAAATGAGATATCATTACGTGCACAGGTATGCATTTTTTCTTATCTTGGTATGCCCTTTTCTAAATAGATTTTCTTAATCGTGGTAACTAAACAGTGTGCTATTCTATGTTTAGGATTCTTGTTTCCTTAAGATATGTTGCCACTTTTTATGCCTTAGCATTCTTCTGTGTGTACTGCAGATTGTCTGTTAAGTAAAACCAGCGGTTCAGAACAAAAAGAGAACATTAACATTTAAATAAGCAGTGCTATCTCTTTTTAGTTTCATGCGTCCCCTGAAATGATGTCCAGTCATTATATATAAAAAAAGATCACTGTACTTTCTTCTTTCCATGTCACAAATTTCATATGCAATTTTTGCCTGTCCCAGTTTCATATCAGATTAGGAGACATCTGATATAATTAAAGACATCTATATCCTATTTTGCCTCGAGAAGTTGCACTTGTTGAATACTTAAGTGCATCTCATTCATATTATAATCTGCTGGTGTTGTGGTGTACTCCTAACTTCTGTGCTATGTGAATCTCTGTCAAAATCAAAGTCGAGTGGCAGTGGTACTTCTATTTGTTGTCATTATTACAATGATATATTTTCATTTGCATACTTGTCTGACTTGTGTTGTCATCACCTTCTGATTATTTTCATTGGTCGTACCTTGTGATCCCTGTTTTCATGTATCTCACAACTAGTTTGATGACTTGTATAGAGTGACACAATGCTGGAGGTAGCCACAATGGTGGGAGCTGTATCTATGGTGATCAGCATAATATGAGTGACACAAACGAGTGAAGGTGTCAAGCCAAGATGTTGATGGTGTTTGATGTTTTTGGACCATTAATCTTTAGAAAAATGTTAAGAACATTCTGTTCTAGTTACTATTTCCTATTTTTTGAAGGATCATCAAAGTTAAAATGTGATTTGGACGCAACTCTTGTTGTGCTTGTGATATATTACGAGATTGTGCAAAATATAATTCATCTTTTGTCACTTGGGTTGAATGCAAGCAATTCTGAAGTAATCTTGTGACTGTGAGATTTGCAGCTTGTGAAATAATTTCGAAATGCAAGTTTTATAATATGGACTTGTAAGTCCAGCATCACTAAATTAGATAACCGGTGATTCTCAAACTATCAGTAGTTATACTAATTGACGGTCTTGGTTGATCACATGGCTATAACAATGTCTGGTGGTGTATGCACACGGTAACCCATTATTAATTGTGATGGTGATAGGCACCCTCTCAACTATAACTCTATCCGATGGGGGCAGCTCGACTGTTGGGCATTGTCAAAGCTGACGGGAGTGAAAAGCCATCGGGAAATGCATAGATGACGGTGAACGGTCGGCTATAAGTGTCGTCGAGTAATGGTAAGGCGGCCCTTGACCAAGAAATGGCCGACAAGTCACCGTCGGCTTCGCACCGTTGGCGAAATTGATAACCGAGAGTACCGTCAGCTATGGTAGTAATGGCCGACCAAGCATCACCGATGGGAGATTGCCGACGGTCTACCGTCGGCTATAGTCTTAGACGAGGGTGAACTTCAATATCCGACGGGGATTCAACCCTCGGCTATATTGGGATATCTAGTAGTGTCGTTGGCTTGTCGCCGCAGGTTCGGCCTTCCACCTTAAATACCTCCCCTGCAAAGTTCAGTTGCAATCAGGAAACTGAACACGAGTGGGCGGACACCTATTCGGGGTACTCGGACTTTGATCTCAGGTACCTAGGGGGTCAGAATTAGCCCTGGGTAATCGGCCGTAATGGCCACCAAGGCGTTGTCCTTGCTCAATTGATGGAACACTCCATCAATCAGCTCCACAGATATGTCCGGATCCTCTTGAGAGGCCGGGTCGAGGGACCGTCCGGGGTCCTCGGGTTGTGGAGGAGGGCTGCTTATTTCCTCAACAGCCCGGCGCAGTTCCTGCGTTGAAGTCGTCAGACTGAATATTTAACAATGGGAATACAAAACGGATGGACAAGTAAATACGGCCGCTTACCCAGCTTGGGGGATTGTGCATCGAGTATCCACCCTGAGGGTTGATGCGGAGAAATTCCTCCTCTTCTCCCTTATACAAAGTGGACAAGATCTTTAGTAGAGCGGCAGCTGAATCTGGCCCCTTACGGCCGTAGCGGGTGGCGTCGTCCTCCCCGTTGAAGTCCCACATGGGGTGGCTTCTATACTGAAGCTGATGCACCCCCCGCATAATGCATTCGGCCATAACCCGATCATGGTTAGTCCAGAATGGGCTAAGAATCTTATTCGTCCCATCAGGTAAATGATGTCCCTGTCACCTTCCCTCTGAGGGCTCCGTGGGCGCCAGCTTAGGCGCTTCTTTAAGGGAGCACTGTTGAATTCAGGGAGGCCGATCCGGTCAGGATCCGACAGCGGGACGTCTTCTATATAAAACCACTCCGAGGGCCAGTCTTCGGACGCCTTCTTTGGGGTTCCAGACAGATATCCGGTCCCGGCGATGCACCACACTTCGGCTCCGCCCACTTGATACACTGACCCCTTCTTGGAACGGGGCACGAGGCAAAATAGCTCCTTCCATAGTCCGAAATGAGCTTTGACACCCAAGAACAGCTCGCAGAGGGCTACAAAGTCCGCGATATGCAGTACTGAGGCAGGCGTGAGATTATGTACCTGGAGGCCGTAGAACTCCAGCAACCCTCAGAGAAATGGATGGATTGGAAATCCGAGCCCCCTTAATAAGTAAAGGAAGAGGCACACCCGCTCTCCTTTGGAGGGATTAGGGGCATTCTCAGCTTGCGCTCTACCGTTGTAGACGGCAAGACCGGCTCGAACCGGGACCATATAGGCCGGGGGGAGAAATCCCTTGGTCTGGAGTGTCACTAGCTCGCTATGCGGGATGGAACATCTCTCCCAATATCCAGGCTTAGGGCTGGAAGGGGGAGGGGAGGAGTTGCGACGGCTGGCCATGGTGGAATGGACCTTTGTCGGATGCGCTCTGATGAACACTCACGGAGGGGAGAGCGTGTGGATTGGATCTAAATCCTCGTCCCCTTAAATAGGGCAGTTCATTTACGTGGCTAGGGGTGTGAATGTAAAAACACTTAGACTTTTCATATTCGTTTGACACGTGGGGAGCGGCCATTATTGGGCGTAGAAGCCAAGGAGCGCAACATCTATAATAAACCGTACTTTATTCAAACAGGTACATGGGATTTGGAGGAGAACCCTCCTTGCAATGCCGAAGACAATCTGTGCACCGGACTCATCGTCATTGAAGCCTGGTTTGGGGGCTACTGACACTAGTAGAAAACAGGGCTTTCGTCCAGGCCAGTTTAGCCCATTAGTCCCGGTTCAATCCAGAACCGGGACCAATGGAGCTATTTGCCCCGGTTCGTGAGCCCAGGGGGCCGGCTGGGCCACGTGGGCCATTGGTCCCGGTTCGTCCGGACCTTTTGGTCCCGGTTGGTGGGACGAACCGGGACCAATG